CAGGTTAGGTCCCAGACCATACTGTGCCAGGAAGCCCAGGGGTCCTCCCCGACACCACCCCGGCGAATCCACATGTCTCTCGGTATCAAAGCTCCCCTGATAAGCTAGTTACTCAGTCAGGGGTGTCCCATTTCACCCATGTGGTCGTACTTGTCTTATGTTTGGATGAAATTCCAAGGAAACGGTCCTTAAGTGCAAGAGCGGAAAACCGTACACCCGGTACGTTCCCCGGTCCGCGGTTTTGGAAATTCATTTAGTTCGCAAGCACCGACCCAGGTGTCGGGTTTTCCAAGCCTTTTGTAAAACCCAAGTTTTACCCAAGTTGTTTTTCAGATTTTAAGTTTGAAGGCGACCGTCGATACTCGTGCAGAGTGCACGATTTCCGAGGCGCAACTAGGTGGTTACAAGGGAACATGGTATAACAATTAACAAAGGAAGGATCAAATGCAACAAACTAGGTAGGTCCGCCAATCTGCCTTGCAGACGGGACAAACAGATTAAGTGCGATCCTGTCAATGCATAATATTTTTCAAGCAACATAATTAAGTTCAAATATAGGCTCAAGATGTTCAAAGGTGGCTTGCCTTGCTCGAGATTTTGAGCTTGATCCTCGAAATCCTCGCACTGCGGGTCTTCGGGCTCCGAAACTACGCGCAAAACGGGACAACTCAACAAACGGCGAAAATAAAGCCCTATTAATGACCTCTAAGTGTGCCATTAGATAGATCTCGAGATTTAAGGAATTTTGGAAGTTGAACGGAGTCAAACGGATTTACGGTTGGGAAGATATTGAATTTCTAAGATTATTGGATTTTTGGTCTAAAGGAAAAGGATTTAATTAAATCCTTTTTGGAAAAGAAAAGAAAAGAAAAGAAAAGAAAAGAGGGAGGGAAATCAGACTTTCCTCGGGCGGCTAGGGCGCGGCCCGAGAGAAAAGGGGCGGCTCGGCCGAGCTAAATGGGCCGGCCGGCCCAAGGCGGCACAAGGCACGCGCGCGCGGGAGGGGAGGAGAGAGAGAGCTGGTGGACCGGGCTCACCTCGCGTGGTCCCGAGTGGGACCCGCTTGTCAGCGGCTCGGCTCATCGTGCGGAGGGAGCACGCGGCGCGGCGCTAGGATGGGGGAGGGACGCGGTGCATGCGCGCGGTTCGCGGTGGACGCGGATGCGGCGGGCCCACGCGCAGCCTCACGGCTCGCGGTGGAACGCGCGCACGGGGAGGGGCTGACTGGGGTCGGCTCGACCCGGTCTTGGCCGAGCTGGCGCCGACGTGGCGCCTACGTGGCTGCCACGCGGGTCGGCGGGAGGTAGACGACGACGCTGGCCGGAACGGACGGCGGACAACAGCGGCGAGCGGCGGAGCAAACCACGGCGATACAGGCGAAAGCGAGCACACCGGGTGGTTGCTCAGGACGAGGGGAGACGAGCCAACGGCTCGGATTCGCCGGAGGGAGCTTGACGGCGGCGAATTGTGGCGGCGGCAACCGGCGGCGGGAGAAGGGGGAAACGGCGACGAGGTCACGAGGGGCCGATTCCCGGCGGCGAGAGCATCTACGCGGCTATGGGAATCCGATGCTAGCGTTGGATTGTGCGGAGCTGCGCCGAGCGAGGCCGGCGACGAGCGGCGCTTCCGAGCTCGGGCGGCGACGGCGGCGAGCACACGGCGAGCGGCGGCAACGGTCGGGGCGGCGCCGGCTAGCTACGGGGAGGCTACTCATGCTACTACCCGAGTCTAAGGGGAGGAGATGGAGCGAGGAGGAAGAACGGAGGGAGGCACTACCGTGCGGGCGGGCGCAGTGACGAGAGCCGACGGCGCGAAACGTGATCGTCTCGGCCTCGGGCCGAGGAAGAGGAGGAAGAGGGCGCGGCCGAAGTCCCCTTCTGCGTCCTTGCTCGTGCCGGCTCTTCCGACACGCACAACGACGAACGGCGACGGCGAACAGGGCGACAGTGGTGGCGAGAGACGAAAACGAGGGAGATTGGAGGGGGAGGAGCTTGGGTTTATAGGGGCGGCAATGTCGGTTTGGGAGAGGGGAACCGACATTGGACGGTCAAGCCGACGAGCTGGCGCTCCGGCTAGCGGCCAAAACGGCGACAGGAGGTGACGCCGGCGAGAGGGTAAAAGGGAGAAAAGGGGGAAGAGAAAGGGGGCTTGTCCCTTGCCTCTTTGGGAAAAGGAGGAGGGGAGCGGGGGCGACGCGGCAGAGGGAGGAGGAGCTCTGCCTCCGTCCCTTGGAGGCTAGCGCGTGGAGTGGCGGGGGCCGGGTGATGACGACGGCGATGACGGCGGGGGCGATGTGGAGCGGAGCGGCGACACGGGCGACAGGCGCGGCAGAGGCTAACGGCGGCAGCGACCAAGCGGTCGGCCACCACGGCACGCGCGCGCGGGAAGCAACGGGCGGCGCGGCGATTTGAGCGGCGCGGCTCGGGCACGCGCGCTGGCTTGCGGGGCCGAGCGGCTGCGCGGCTGCAGGCGCGGCAGGGCAGCGGGGCCGGGCGGCGCAGACGGCGTAGGCGCGACACGGGCGGCGACCACACGGGCGCGCGCACGCGAACAACGGCGCGCGGGGCCGATTTCGCGGGCGGGGAGCTCGCCAGGGATGGAGGCGGGGAGAGGGAGAGCGAGGGGGAGGCGCTCGGCGCGGCGCGGCTCACGCGCACGCGCGGGCAGAGCGGAGAGAGAGAGAGAGAGAGAGAGAGAGAGAGAGCGCCGGGGAGGGAGGGGGAGATGGGCCGAGAGAGATTCGGCCCATCGAACCCGGGGAGGCAAAATAGACTTTTGCGGAGGAATTGATTTGGGAAGGATTTGGATTCGGGATTGAACTCGACGATAGATCGGGGATTTGAGATCTGAGATGGCACGGACACTAGACAACAAGCAAAGAAACAGATTTCGCAAATAGAGTTTTTAAGAGATAGTTTTCCCGCTAGGCGCCACGACGGAACGGGCGCTACAGCAGCCGACGGGCTAGAGGAGGAGAAGGAAGCGAGAGCGGGAGAGGAGAAGAGGAGGTTGGCGCCACCGTCATCGTCGCCGTCTCGGCAGGTCGAAGCGCCACAGCCAACTTGAGGTCGTCGCCGGCGAGGTCACTCCATGGACTGGGAGGGGAGGAGAGGCGCCGGCCGAGGGACAAGACGAGGGGCGACTCACGGCCACCTCGACGTTGGCGCCGAAGCTCCGCCCGTCTCCGTCGTCGCCCGAGCCCCAGCATCGCCGCTGCAGCTCAGCCTGGCCCCGCCGCCGCCGCCGCCAGGCGTTAGATCTGGCCGCCCTGCCGCCCGGGCCCCGGTGCCGGTGCCGGTGCCGCAGCTCTGCCTGGCCCCGCCGCCACTGCCGCCAGGCGTCAGATCTGGCCGCCCGGGCCCCGGCGTCGGCGCGGCAGCTCCGTCTGGCCCCGCCGTTGTCGCCCATGGCGAGCTCCGCCCGTCACGCGATAGAGGGAGGGGAAAGGCGTCGGTGGTTGAGGAGAGAGGGAGGGGGGGAAAGTTGAGAAAAGGAGATTTTTTTTTTTATTGTTGTGGTTCCCACTTGAGGCTCCATAGCATTGTGGGACTTGTGGCTAACATTACTTGTAGGTGTTCTTGAGCCTATGTGGCACACCAAGTCCGGTACTATGGCGTGACGTATTGCTAATGCCCTAAGCATCTCACCCTTAGAAGGGGAAAGTCATTTTTACCTTTTAAGGTATCCTCTCAAATGGTACGTTATGAAAAAATTGACAATAAAAAAAATAAACCTGAATGAGTACGTTTACTTTCTACAGTTATATTTGTTTCTTTTAACTAGTTTAAGTCAATCCTAAACTTGCATATTTCTGAAGTCAGTAATTCCACCAGTGCTTAGCCCAAGTAGCCTAGTCATTTTGAAGGTTCTTTTTAAATTTTGTATAACTATTTAGTTGATATGTAAGAAACGAGTGAACATCCACCCGAATACTTATAAGCGTTTCCTAGTCCATGTGTGCTTCATACGGAATGAGTATGAAGAAATTCTTCGGATTGACTGATATGAGCTGGGTTGCTAGTCGCTAGGAACTCATTGAGAAAAGGTCACAAGCCGCCGAGACGGCTTCCATGATGCTGGCGAACTGTCACTAACCCATGTAGTCGAACACCCGATTGATGTCACGGTCATTGACAATCTTCTTCAGGTATAAGGCGTTGCAGTAGGTGTTTTATGTGCTCCAACGTCCTCTAGGACAATGCATGGAAGGTACCTCTCTCCCGATGGAGGGGAATTGGATGTGTGTCTGGTCAAGGACTCTAGGAGGATTCTCCAGACTCCTATCCGTGAGGGCTCGAGATATATAGTATGGATCGCTTAATGAATTGTATTGCCAAAAATTTCATTACTATTTGGATGACATACCTTTCAATGGAAAAAAGAATCCATCTCCAATTCTCCATCGTAGAAGTCCATGTTCGTCATGAATTCTCGGAAACAATCCGGAAGAGCTAAGAAGACGGGTGGGTTTTGATCAGCAGTCAGCCCTCAGCTTAAGTAACAATCTTCTGGCCCCTACGTCATTTTCATTTTTTTTCCGTGACAGAGAAATTCATTATTTGTTTCTTTTCATCATTTGAAAGCCTCGTTAACATTTTCTGATGTTTGGCAATCCGCTAAGCTTACTTGAAGAGATATTTATGAACACGAATAAGTTGTTGTGTATTTAAGGTTTTCGAATTCAAGGAAATTGGGCATTTGGGCATTTGGGCATCTGTATGTCGATCATGCAGCGGTTCAATCGGCATTTGGGCATTTGGGCTCCTGCCACCAGAGATTAACAACATATGAACACAAAGCTACAGATGAACAAAATCGAGTGACTTAACACAAGTATCTTCCGCTCAACCATCTTTCAGCATTCATGCCTTACTTAAAGTTCTCCTGCCTTGAAACCAATTGCCAAGTTGCTGCTCTGAATCAATTTCAAGTTCCATGGCTAGTTAAAGCCTTAAAAAGGCGGATTAATTCTCATCAAAATCTCAATTGATATAGATACATCAATCCCACTCCTTGTTCACGATCCTGAACGCCACGTCCTCGTAGGGCCAGCCCGCGTGGAACCTGATGACGCAGGTCTCGCCGCCGCCGCTGTTGCTGCCGTCCTCGTCGACGGTGTACTGTGGCGGCTTCCCGCCGGCGAGGTCGGGGTAGTAGAGCACGAACTTGTAGCCCTTGACGGTCTTGGGCGGTGGGTGGTCGTGGTCGTAATGCGCGCGGTTGTACTTGTTCCACTCGAAACCTGATCGCACCCGCGCGATGTACTTGGGCTTCCTCAGCTCCGGTCCCGGCGGCGGCGGCAAGGCCACCGGGCGCAGAGTTTCCGAGCCTTCCTCGTCGGCGTCCTCGCCGCCGCCGTCGTTGTCGGGCGGGGGCGGGGGCGCGTCGCAGGTGTAGTGCTGTTCTAGGTACTTCTTGGCTTTCTCCACACGGATGAGCTCCGTCACTTCCTGCCAGTGCTCGACGACCTTCGCCTCGCCGGTGGCCATGCGCGCGGCGATGGCGTGCTGCATCGCGTCGAGCTCGTCGAGGCTCTTGCCCTCGACGACGCTCTTCACGTCGGCGAAGACCGCGGAGTGCAAGGCCCTGTCGCCGTGGCCAGCCGTGCCGGTGCCGGTGGCGGCCTGCTCGATCTCGGCGTTGCACATCGCCTTGGCCGCCGCCCAGAAGGGCTCGTTCGCCCTGTCGAGATCGGCGTACGCCGCGATCTCCTCGCCGAGCTCCTTCAGCTCCTCGACGGACGCGCCGCGTCCCGTCGAGAGACTTGACGAGCACATCGATGGGCTTGGGCCGCCCGGAGGCTAACCGGGCCTCGGCGCGGAGCCTGCTCTGATCGAGGAGGAAGGCCGCCTCCTTCGCCTCCTCCTCCGCCGCCGCCCTGGCGCGCGACGCGTCCAGGATCGGCGGCGGCGATCTCCGCCGCGAGGCGGCGGCGGACGAGTTCACGCCGGCGGCCTCCCTGCGGCGGGCGAGGCACCGGCGCCGCTCGTCGCGGAGCGAGACGATATCGGGCAGGATGCCGCGGGCCAGGTCGCGCTCGAGCTTCTTCTGCCAGACGAAGGCGCCGAGGCCGCGCGCCGCCAGCTTCGCGGATACGGCGTCGGCGCGGCGGCGGACGGCCTTGGACAGCGACCTCGACGGCCGCGAGATCTCCTCGGCGCGAGGGCGAGGCTTCGCCATGGCGGTGCCAGATCAAAGGCGGCCCAGGGTCAAAGACCCTATTAAGATTTGACAAATTGGGTTGATTAATGATTACACAAGTCGGTTGCTGCCGCATCGTCCAAGTCGGTTCAGGGACGAACAAGACCTATTCGGTTGCGACGCGTGTCCTATTCGGAGAGAAGTTTTGGCGTGTAGGAGTAGTTACAATACAATGGGCTGGGTTAGTGCGGTCATACTGGGCCATCTCGGCCCGCCATGGAAATAACTAGGCTGGGCCGAATCAAGACGATACTTGAAAATAGGAAAAAGTACATAGAAGGTCCCTCGACTTGTCATCGAATTACAAAATAGTCCCCCAACCGCAAAACCAGGTATCCACCGTCCCTTAACTAACCAAAACCGGTCACAATAATTCCTTCGGTGGTTTTGACTCCGGTTTGTCCTACGTGGCGGTTGAGTCAGCGCGGGACCCACGTGGGCCCCACATGTCAGGCTGCCACATCAGCCTCCTCTCTCTATCTCTCTTTTCCCCTCTTCTCTCCCTTCGTCATCTCTCCCTCTCTTCTCTGACTCAACCGGAGGGAGGAGGACGGCGTCGGCGGCCGGCGGCTAGCGAGGGGTAACGTGGCAGCGGTGATGGCGGCGACGGGTGACGCGGCGGCGGTAGGGGAAGGAGCTACGTGTGGGCGGCGAGATGCAGCGCGCGGGCGGGCGGCGGCAAGGGGCGACGCGCGGGCGGCGGTGGGAGGAGCGGCGTGCGGGCTCTCCCGCCGGCCACCGCCCACGAGGCCCACGAGGCAGAGGAACGGTGGCCGAGGGAGAGGAGCGATGGCCGAGAGAGAAAAGCGGCGGCCCGTGGAGTTGAGTTGGGCGGCCCCTCCGTCCTGCCGCCGCCGCCAACGCGGCGCTCCCCGTCCCGTCCCGGTCTCCCCCGCCGCCCTCGACTCGCTCCCCTCCCCATCCCCCGCCATTCCCATCCCCACCCCCGCCGCCGTCGCCGCCCACCTCGCCGTCTTTACGCCCGACTTCCCTCTTCATGCGCCCCGGCGGCCGCGCGCGCCTCGCGGTCGAGGAGGGTGGGGCCGCTGCGCTCGCCTCCGATGAGGCAGATGCCGTGTCGGTGCCGCCGTTCCTCTGCCTCGTGGGCCTCGTGGGTGGCAGCCGGCGGGGGAGCCCGCGCGCCGCTCCTCCCCTTACCGCCCGCGCGCTGCTCCTCGCTGCCGCGTCGCTCGTCGCCGGCCGCCGATGCCCTCCTCCTCCCGCCCGGCTGAGTCAAAGAAGGGAGAGAGAGATGACGGAGGGAGAGAAGAGGGGAAGAGAGAGAGAGAGGAGGAGGAGGAGGCTGATGTGGCAGCCTAACATGTGGGGGCCCGTGGGTCCCACGCTGACTCGGTCGCCACGTAGAAAAAAACCGGGGTCAAAACCAAAAAAAACTTATTGTGACCGGTTTTGGTTAGTTAAGAAAAGCTGGATATCTGATTTTACGGTTGGGGAACGATTTTGTAACTGGATGACAAGTTAGAGGGATACTCGGTGTACTTTTTCCTTGAAAATAACGTTCATTTGGAGTCCTGGTGGATATACTACTACACACGAATACACGATTAGCACATGCGCAAGACCACGACTCAACTAGTTTATTCTTCCAATCTTTATGTCTCAAAATGATTTTATTTTTCACTCGTACCACATATATCAATATATAAAAAAAACTAAATACATTTGTTTTATCGAGTTCAAATGTAATTATTTACCACTTTATTTAATCTTAATATATTTATCTCATGGTTTTATAAACTACAATATAATAATTACTAAAAATAAATTTATTTTCGAATAAATCAGAGAGTACAAATAATTTTATTCTACCATGGAGGGGTTATGTCCACACGTGTAACTGCCGAACTGTACTGACAGGTCATCCGGTCCCACCTGACAGGCAAAGAAACCTCGAAGAAACCCACCCCTGCTGCAAGTCTCCATCCACTCCCACCTGACAAATTGGACCACACAGACGCGATATCCACATCTGTCACGTGGATAATAAAAACACAAAATATAAAATTATTCGTGTTCTCCTCTTCCTCTCCCTCGTCTCCTCCCAACAAGTCGATCTCCTTCGCTTTAAATTTTGTGGTAGATTTTTGTCTCCTTCGCTCTCCACGCTACCGCCTCGCCGTGCCGGAGCCCGGGCGTTCCCCGCCGCCGAGAACCTCCGCCTCCGCCTCCATCTCCTCCGCCGCCGCCGCAGATGGATCGGGAAGAAGGTAAAGCAGCGCAGAGCCCGCCGAATTTAGGAGCGCTCCTGGCTAATCCGAGGGGTGGTTGCCATTGGTGTGCAGTGACGGAGTTCCTCGGCCAGGTGCCCCTCCTGCAGTGCCTCCCCAGCTCCTCCATCCGCAGGATCGCCGACGCCGTCCTGGTGAAGCGCTACGGTGAGTAGCACACGGTCCCCATCACTGTATCACTCGCTCTAGTTTTTGCGACCTTCGATTGGTTGGTGGTTATGGTGAACGTGGCGGCGGCGGATTCCTGATGCTCGTTGGTGGGAGATTTTTTTTTAGATTAGTAAATTAGCGGTATTCTCCAATTGCGTACCCGATTTTTGTGGAGCTCGCTGGCTATGTTTGATTTGCTGCTGTGTATGTATATGTATAGGTTTAATCAACTTGCTTAAAAAGGTGACTATTAGAGGCTTAGAGCATCACCCCCTATAATAGGGTGCTTCCATTCAACGCCCAAGCTAGCTACTATAAGATTCATTTTTTTTAGAACAATAACAATGTTATAGATTTTCTTTATAGATCATGGGGAACTGGGGATATCATTGGCAATAGTACACATTGATTTGACATGTAATGCTTGAGAGAAAATTGGTATCAGTTCAATAACGAAGATCAGGCATCCAAATCCTTGCAAGCGAGGACTCAAGCCTGGGTGTTCACCTACGCCTGCCACCTACCTCACTTCCTCTCACTGATTTAGTGATTTTTAGTTCTCAACGCATGTTTGGCATTATCCCCTTTCTAGAGAAGTGTTGTTTCTTTTTTTGGTACTGAAAGTGAATGTGGTTTCAAGTTGGAATCAAGCTGATTACATGTCTGTTCGTTGTGATACTTTTCGAATTTTGCAGAACCTGGTGGTTACGTTGCTCGTGAAGGTGACCCTGTAGATGGCCTTTACATCATATTGGATGGGCAGGTATGAATTGGAGTATATTATTTCTTTGCTTAGCATTTATTGGCTTTTATGATTACCATACTTTGGGAACAAATATGCAAGCTGTCATTTAGCCAGTTGTCAGCCGGATTCATTGACTAGTACTGTTTGTGGCTGTTCCAACTACCACGCTGGAACAATTGATGAATTGTTCTTTAAAAAAATATTCGGTCATATTTTGCAGCAATGATCATTTATGCTGGGACTTGGGGTGAAGGATCAGTTTGTACTTTGTAGTTTCACACTTTCAGAGTATCATTGTTGTCCTGATAGCCAGTTCCTTTGCTCCTGCCATAACTGAATGATATAATCCAACTGTTCTACTCTCATGTTTTTTTTTGTTATTATCATAGTTTATATGATCAGTTACATTATCCTTGTGATCTACTGATGAAGCAGAGGCCATGGAATTCTCAGTATTAATTCTCCATCTGCATTATATTGCAGGCTGAGGTTTCAGCTCCTGCAAACACAGAAGAAGAAAACCGCCCTGACTATGTGTTAAATAAGTATGACTACTTTGGTTATGGTAAGAACTATCATTACATGACTTCTGATTTTTATAGTAGTTCCTTTTTTTTTATCAAGTATATAAACCATTTTTTATAAGATACGGAGCAGCTCTGTTTGCGTACTATTCTAATATTCTGCATTGTTTTGTAGGAACCAATAGTTCTGTGCATCAAGTAAATGTTATTGCAGTATCAAAGGTTCCTTGTTCATGTTTCTATTTTTAATAACAGTATAAGCTGATGGTGTCCCTACTGTAATAATAAATATCTTCTGGCTTCAGCTTATTGTTAGTATCCTATTTTGCAGCTGACCTGCTTCGTATTGCCAAATCAATATGGACACTTGTTGCAACCAAAGACCATTTGGAGTGCAGAAGAGACACCTGAGAACCATTCTTTGCTAGAACAAATTTTGCACTTAGAGCCATTGGAGGTAAGTCTAAATGTGTTGTGATGTTTCTGTTTTGTAAAGGTATATATCACTTTACAGTATGATTACTGTGCTGAAAAATTATCAGGTATCCTAGTTCGTAAGATCTTATGACTTATATACTACATACGCTAATTTTGTAGCTCTACCATTCTTTTTACCACCAACAGCGTGTTAAGTATCACCCATTAGAGGTTAACCTGATTTAGATTATTAATAGATCAGGCTTTCATTTACATCATCTAAAAGAGACAATTTAAGGTGGATTTGCAGTTTCATATTTACACCTCCTATTTATAAGTGGAAAGGGCAAAATATTTTGTCACAGCAAGTCAAATTTAAGTCTGTAAACTTTCTCACTGTAATCATTATCTTTTTTAGGTCGATATCTTCCGTGGGTTTACTTTGCCAGGAGCTCCGACTTTTAGGCAAGTTTTTGGAGGACAGTTGATAGGACAGGCATGTTCCAACTAAAATATCTTACTTTCTATTATCAATATCTGCTGGATGTTTGTATTTCACCACTTCCTTTTTCTGTTATGTTGCAACATTCATATTTAAGTAGAAGTGCATGAATCCATTTGTGAAAAATAAAAGATAAAAAAGGGAGCTTCTTTAACATGCTTCTGAATCATTTTTTTGCTGCTTTTTGGAAAACTTTTGGACTTTCCTCGTTGATCACAGAGGGCCAGTTTTTGTAATAGCATGGATGTAAGTGCCAAAGGAGGAAAAAACATTGTAAAGGCGGTTCACATAGGACAGCATTATTTTGCTCAAACATGTTTTCTTCAATGGTATATTAATCTTCTGATTAAATTGTTAAATTGTTTGTCCATGAAAATTGTTTTTCCACTACTCATTCTCATGCACTCCCAAAAGAAAGTTCAAACACTAGAAAGAGTACACACATCCATGTCAAAGATTTTCACTATGTCTGAACTTTGTTTGTTATTGGACCCTCATGTAGGCACTAGCAGCAGCATCCAAGACCGTTGACTGCCTAAAAGCGGTGCACAGTTTGCACGCAATTTTCCTTATCGCAGGAGACAAGAATTGTAAGTTCTCTAAGCTTGTGTAGTAGTTCTCTTCTCAATCAAGTTGAATTTAAACTACTCCAACAAAAAATGCAATTTTGGGAACCACTAGTCTATCATATCACGAAGAGGTGACCTAAGAAGAAACCAATGCCAACAAAATGTAACTTTGATAACCACTAGTCTATTAGATCAAGAAAGGATGGTTTAAGACAAAGCTTTACTCTGCCTTCCAAATTATGCATTGTCCCTGACTTAGAAATGAGCAGTGGATTAATTTGTGCAAACTTTTTTATGAGTCTATCTTTTGAGCTGTCATCTTAGTAAGCTGCAAATAATTATGCAGTGTAATTTTATTTATTTGAAAAAAAGAATAAATCTGATCATGTCTGTTTCTGTTTTGTCCTCTGTTGTAGTGCCAATAATATATCAGGTTCATCGGGCGCGCGATGGAACAAGCTTTGCCACCAGAAAAGTGGAGGCAAAGCAAAAGGGCCTTGTCATTTTCACCTTGATTGCTTCATTCCAGGTGTTTATCCTTCTGGTACCCAGTTTTGTGAACAATGTACAGCCTCAGGAAAATTTTGGCATATTAGTATTGATCAAGCATTTGATTCTCTCGATGGCTTCCATTTTGGGCCTGTTTGGTTCTCTTCCATTGCTAGCCTTGCCAATTTTTTGGCAATGGCAAGATTTGGCAAGCCAAAAAAATTGGTGGAGGTGGCTGTTTTGAGTGATACCAAAATTTTTAGACTAGGCTAGTGCTTAAGTTAACCAAACCAAAAAAAATTGGCAATGACAAATTTGTGGCTTCATTCCTACAAACCAAATGAGCGACATTTTTGTAGCAGTGCATTATTTGGTAAGGTTGGGTTTGGCAAAGAAGCAAACAAGCTCAACTCCCTCCCATCATAAATATTTGGTGTTTAGGACAAGAATTATTAAAACTTTTGAAACTTCGACCATGAATAGCTTCTCAAATGCTTAGTTTAAAAACAAAAAATGGGTATAGACAGATTTATTTTTAAAAATAATATCTTAATATCATGAACTTACTAGATTTGGTAAGCCTATTCTAATATAAAACTGATAGTTAAAGTTTTAAATGTTTGACAATCTTGTCCTAAACGTCAAATATTTATGACCATAGGGAGTAAAATTTTAACTACACTTTTAACAATATATTACAGTAAAGGTAGTGGTCAAAACTGTGTTGTGGAGACCACATCATTGTTTATAAACTTTTTTTGTGACTAGAGGGACCAGTAGAATGTTCTTTTTGCAATATTCAATATTCATACTGAACGCTGTCAACGATAACGAACTGTTTGAACTCTTGTTAAATCCTGAGGAAATGTGTATTTTCATGTTTATACTACTTTATACATTAAGCCAAAAGGTTCGTGAGACTAAATCTGCCAGCAGAAGAATAGATGGTATCTAACTTCTGCATGATCAATTATGTTGCAGAAAGACGAATTAGGGTTTGAGCATCAAGCTGCAATCATGCCTGATGTTCCTCCTCCAGAAGAGGTAATTTTTTTTCCTTTCCTGTAATGTATATGGGAAAGAAGAATTGATAATTAATAGGTAATCAAATGCAGCTCCTGAATCTGGAAGAGATACGGGAAAGAAGACTTACTGATCCTCGCTTCCCAATGTAATTTTCATGACTTCCAACCATATATTTGATGATGATAGTTTCCTAGCTAATGCAGTTCTCAGATGATTCATCTTTAATCTTCAGAATAAACTTCTTTTATGTTATTGAGAAAGCATTATATTTGTCACCATTTATTTCTCGGACACTATATTTGTCACCATTACTCAGATGAATCTAGCATCTGGTATTACATAAATTAGAAATTATCTGGTAGTATTTCTCACGTTTAGTAAATCAAGCATTCTATCTTCTTAAGCTTCAATTATAACTGTATTTGGTTCGTGCCACAGTCGCATGCCACCTGGCAAAGTCTTGACTGTTAGTCATCTGCAGGCAATATAGGAACTCAGCTGCCAAGAAAAAGTTCGTACCTTGGCCCATAGAAATGAGGTTTTGTGAAGATTCAGCATCTCAACATAAACCAAGGTATGTACACACTGTGTTTTCTTTCAGTGCAGCCTGCTCATACCTTCTCTCCTCCCCTAGTTGGTGATAACTGATAAGTTTACCACGAAATTCTTGTGTACTTTCATATTCACGATTCTAAATTCCACTGTGAAAACATCCAATTTTAATTCCATTGTGCAAGAATTTATCGCATTTCCTGCTACATTGCAATTTAATACATTGTTCTGATTCATTAGTGCATCTATTCCATTATCTAAAAAAATGTATCCAATTTCTTTCAGCTTAAATTATTGGTTTAGAGCCAGAGGAAAACTTTCTGATGATCCAGCACTGCATAGGTTTGCCATCTAATCACTATACCGTGTTTCTTGTATTATAGATGATTGGGCACGACATTAAACCATGGTATTACAGGTGTGTTGTAGCATATGCTTCGGATCTACTATATTCTGGTGTCAGCCTAAATCCTCATAGGGAGAAGGGTCTGAAGACATACTCACTCAGTCTTGATCACTCGTATGTTTCAGCAAACCGCACCCAGTACTGCGATTTTAATTAATACAACTCGCTAGTAAACCGTTTGTTTGTTACTGTTCTGCAGGATTTGGTTCCACAAGCCTGTGAAAGCTGATGATTGGCTTTTATATGTGGTAAGCCATTGATTTTTACCTCTCAAATGATACACAAAACTAAATTTCTGCTTGAGGTTCTTATGGCAACACCTTCCCTTAATAAACACAGATCGACAGCCCATCTGCACACGGTGGGCGGGGTTTTGTTACAGGGCGAATGTTCAACCGACAAGGAGAGGTATATGCCTTCGTTGTTTCAAAGCTTAGTTCAGTTCTGCATTGCTTCTGTGATGGAAATGTTTATCAACTTACTATGATGTCTTCGCAACTGCTTTAGCTCGTCATGTCGTTGACCCAAGAGGCGCTGATTAGGAGGGCGAAGACGCCAGGACAACCGTCACAAACCCCAAGGCCAAAGCTTTGAGAGGTGCAGAAGAGCAGTATTATCGTTTCATTTTTGGCACTTTCACAGTTATTTTCCTTTTCAATGGAAGTCTATAACACGTAGACGTGAAGCCGAAGTATAGCATACTGCATATATGTAGCAAGAAAAAACGATGGTAAAACTGGTTCTGTAATTCACGAACAGCTTACTGACATACCACGTATGTATTGGATCGGGAAAAATAAGCGAAGAACTTGGTATCGCTTTTTTTTTATCTCAATAAAGCCTTCAATTATTTCAATTTAAGCCTTCATGGAGCATAAATGGTTGGATAAGTACACATCTGATAAGAAGTTTGTCTAAGCACACATCTGAATAGTTGATATGAAAAGCACGGGTAAAATTTGTCTGTGACGCTCAGGAGATTTACTAATATTCCAGTTACAAGCAGCTCCTCGTGAAGGATTCTCGCAATATTTGAAGTGTCAAAACAAACAGTATGTCATCATCATGTAGACACACGACATTTTACATCCAGAATCAATCTAGCCGTGGATGTCCAGTACTTAAGATAGTGAAAGCAAATCACACAAAAAAAAATCCTACAAATTCAACGTTGTAGTATTCCACACAATCACAATGGTCGGTTGGGATTTTGTCAACAGCCTTACAAGCAAGAGTGGTGACAAACAGCTACATGTTGCTTTCTGATTAAATACAAGTAGAAAACATATTACAAGCCACGCCTAACTAAAGCTGTCTTGTTAGTAGAAACTCCCACTACAAACTTCTGTTGAATCCCTTTTCAAACTACATGCTGCTGAATCAGCCTATTCCAACATCAAAATGCTACAAATGGTATACTGCTGAATCAACACAAAGACTTACCATCAAAATGCTACAGATGGTATGCATAATGAATCATACAAGAACATGTTACCATCAGTCCATCACTACCGTTTAGTTTTGAAAACGGGATGGATATTCACATTCAAATGCTCAAGCTTCTCGATCTTTGCGATAGATTCACCGATTCTCTTCAACACCATGGGCATAGCCCCAATATTCGCCTCACTTTTGGCCTTGACGATCCTTAGTTTTTCCTTCTTCTCTTGGTCAACTTTCGCAACTGGTGTTCCAGCAATATGCTGCGATGCAGTTGTAACTTCTGCAATGTACATAATGTTGTCAGCATCTGACACTGGAATTACCAAGAGAAATTGCCATCTATATCTTCTACGTTAATTTGCTCTTTTAATTTTTTTTACTTATTGATGGCAATGGCAATTAAACTGGGACAATGCAAACTTGAGAGTCATTTTTCACATACTTAGATTAGGTTGCAGTAGAGAACAGGAACAGGAAAAGCCTCACTTTTCTATGTCTAACACTTCAACAACATACTTTCATGGTTTACAGTTAGTGACTGGTGCAAATAATTATCATCAACAAACAGGTTTGATGCCGAAATCATCGAGCTTGCTAGGTAACTGAACAGGAATCTACCGATACGGGAAGGGAAGGTACATTTTCAATGCATACTGTCAACCAGGGGGTAGGGACCAAATTCACCGATTATCACAACCAAAGAAAACCAAATGTCAAATCGCAGTTTAGATCCGATAAGTCGTCCTCTCTTCTTTCCAAATCAACTGAGCCCTAACTAACTGGTGGTAAGTAACACTAGCATTGCTCGTATATACGATAAACCCCAAGACCTACTATACTAATCACGCCCAAATTATACGAACACCAACAAGGGGACGAACAAATCGAAAACCCTAGTACGCCGGAAGCGCGCATACCGAGGAGGCGGGGGCGGAGGGCGGTGAGGCGGGAGGCGGCGGCGTTGAGGAGGCGGGCGGCGTCTTCGCGGCGGTGCTGGAGGAGGCGGCGGCCCAGACGGTCCACCTCCCGCTCCAGCTCCTCCATGTCCTCCTCCTCAGCCGCCTCGTCCTCCCGGGCCGGGGCGGCGGCAGCGGCCGCGGGGACCTTGCGCTTCCGGTGGCTGCTCTGGGCTCCAGTTCGGCTTGGGGTGAGCGAGGCGCCCGCCATGGGGGGGAGCTTGGAGCACGTGAAGCCGCGGCGAGCGGAGACCAGAGAGAGATGCTCGAGCGGAAGGAGCGGAGCGGAGCGGAGAGGCGGATTCAATTTGGGAGGGGGGAGAGATGGGACTTTGGATGAGTGGGACCCACAAGGCCACAACGGGGAAGAATTCGATTTTGAAAGTCTTCGAGAAAACACAGTTCCTGCCCCTGGACACGCATGTCAGTACTAGTGCCGATCAACCGCAATAATACTGTGGCCCTGTTTAGTTCTAAATTTTTTTTTCCAAACTTTCAATTTTCCATCACATCAAACGTTTCATACACACATAATTTTTCTATCACATCGTACCAATTTCAAACAAACTTTCAAACTTCAGTGTGAACTAAACAAGTTAAATTTTCTTTTAGACGATGGCGCTCGGCCCAGCTTTTCATAAAAAGCATACGAGGTTCATACAGCAAAATGAAGAAAAACAAAAACTGGGTAAGCCAGTTCGAGAGAAGAGCAAATGCTGCTGGCACAGCCAGACAAGCCAGAGAGATTGCATCTGAATGCACTAAGAGAAAGAGAAACTAGATTAAGCCTGAACCGCGCCTTCCACTGTCCTGGAACTTGCCGCATCCCCTTGGACCTCGAGTGAATGCTGGCACGCAGTAATGTTTGAACCGTATCCAGCTCCCCAATCAGCTTCTGTTGCGCCAAATTTCTCCACTGCATCAAAAACGACATCACCTTATGAGGTAATTGCATCACGTCTTTTAGCAATTTATCTTCGAAAACCCAATCATTACGAACAAGCCAAATAGCCCAAAAACAGGCCGCAAATAGGCAAAGAATAGCCCTCCTGTTGCTCACAATTTTCCATTTAAAATCATTTACTACCCGAAAAATTATTTGAATTTTTTGTATTTTAAAATTCAAATTTTATATAGTTTAATCAAACCCGGATGGAGATATGACCAAAATAAAATTGGTAGATCTCAATGAGTTCTACAACTTTGTTTTTGACAGTTTTTTCATATGAGTTTATTTAGTATCATAAAATTCAATTCAAAATTTATTTTTGCCTATAAGGCTAATTTGCCTCCTCAATGAGTTCTAATACTTGCTAAATATATATTTGATCCAATTAACTCGGTTTTGCTAGTGAAATATGTGAATGGATGTGAAATATGTAATCAAAATAGATGTTATGTGAATGTGGTTGTGTTAAATATATTGATGGTTGTGTATGTGCATGGATGTTTAACTTCTTTGGAAGTCAATCCCCAAAGAACTTTGAGGTTAAGCGTACTTAGGGTGGAGCAATTTTAGGATGGGTACCTGACCGGGTGCACATGAGTGAGGACAAAATGTGTCCAAAAAACAAAATTTATTTTTTTTTATTATACTCATCCGTGACGGGCTATAGTTTAGGCCCGATTGAGATGAGAGCCATCCGTGACGGGCTATAGTTTAGGCCCGTTAGAGATGAGAGTTATCCGTGACGAGCTATAGTGTTGGCCAGATTAAGATATGTGTCATCCGTGACAGCCGGATGCCCGATTGATATATTTTCTTACATCAGTGACTTTTGCTTGGGCCGCTATCCGATAGAGATGAGGCTTAGACCCGTTACAGATGACCGAATCTGTTCTAGTGAGGGTCTATGGAGCAGCGAGTTGTGAAATTCAGAATACAAGATTGAATGCTCCTTGAAATGTGGAGATCAAACGGAATTTCTTATAGTTTAGTTTAGTTTCTCTAAAATTCTTTTAAATTCCTCCGTTCACCTGAATCTTCAGTCATATCGACCGTTATATAACCAGCAAACGCAAGTAGCAACAGAATACTCCTATCAATTTGCTGTGTTCACCGAATACTCCTAACAACGCAAGTAGCAACAGAATACTACTAGTGTTGCAAGTTTTAAGCACCACTTATTCGGTGGCCTTTATGGTGCTGATATTTCTCCGGGTTGCGTGTTGACGTGAGTCAGATATAACTGGAACCATGATTTTTTGCGAGAATATTCCTTCCTAAAAGGAAGCCTGGAATTTGCAGCAAACCCTCTCCCCCAACAATTTGGCATATCCTTTCCCATCTCTTTTCATCACCCTTTTTTCTTAACAGAAACAGCCACCAAAGAATCATAGTACTATTCTGTGCAACTAGTATATGATTGATCGAGACGCAAGAACAAATTCCACATTAGCAGTAGGCATAAGTCTTTGTTTATGTGTATGTAGTGTGGTGAAGAAATAGACGGTGCGATCAAGCCGCATTTGTGATCAGGTATGCACAATTTGCGTAAAGCGAGATGGAAGTTTCAGCAGCGTGTGTTCAGTCTATTTGGAAACGTAGATGAAGAACAGAAGAAGGGTCAGTACTCAATAAGTCACTATTCAGTACTCAGTACTCAACACACCGCTTATGACTCGGTACTCAATAAGTCACTGAGTATTTGGAATGGTGAAATTTGATAGAACTTTGTTCGGATTGCCAAAATTCGTTTGCTGGACAGAGGGGATCATTTCAGTGAAAATCATTGCAAGTCTGCACAAAACGCTGAAAACATATAGAGTAGATCGCGATTAGCTAGCCTATGCGAAGATTATTTCAGTGAAAAGATTTTCCTTTTCCTTCATCGAAACTGATACTAGACTATATCAAAATAATCTACTTACTCCCTCCGTCCTAAAATAAGTGCAGCCATGGTTTTCCACGTCTAACTTTAACAACTCGTCTTATTTGAAAAATTTTTGAAAAAAATTTAAAACATAATTCACGAGTAAAGTAGTATTCATGTTTTATCATCTTATAACTACAAAATTGCTAATTATAAAAAAATTTCGAATAAGACGGATGATCAAAGTTGGGCGCTGAAACTCATGGCTGCACTTATTTTGGGACGGAGGTAATACAAGTTACAAGCCATGATCCGTTCATCTGAATTCTGACATGTATGTACATTCATCTGAAAAAACATGCGGAGTACGTAATGACAGTTTACCACTGGGCGAACAAAGCTACAGCTATGGCAAAAACAAACCATGTAAGTAAGATTAAATACCACATGCCACGACTCGTCATGCCGAGGCCGCCGCCGGCGCTGCGGGCGGGAGCCTCGGCGAGCCGGCGCTGCGCGGTGGCGCGAACCTGGCGGTGACCGTGAAGTCCGGCTCGAGGCAGCCGTCGTCGAAGTTCTGCGCGTAGCTGAGCGGGTCGTAGTTGAGCCCCCCGGCGCCGAGGATGGAGCGGCCGCCGCCGCCTCCGCCGTGCCGCCGCCTCCGCCGCGCCACGCTGAGCTGACGCAGCCTGTGCCACAGCGCCGCGAGCCCGAGCCGGCCCCAGCACGACGACGCCATCGCCGCCGCTCCCCCGCCGCGCGCCGTCGTCGTCCGTCGCCCGTACGACGACGCGTCCACGTCCGCCTCCCCGTCGTCCCCTCCCTCCTCCGCCATCGTCGCCGGCAGCCTCCCCGGCGATGCCCACATGGCAGACAGGAGGCACGCGACGCGAGAGCGCGAGAGGTTTGTGCGTGATGCGTGTGCTGGCTTTGGTTTTTCTCTCGGGTAGATGAGGCGCGTGGAGGGAGAGGTGGCGAGCCGTTGGATGCGAGAGGGGGACGGCGGAGATGGGGACGTGGGGGAGGTGGTCCCCTTTGCCCCGCGGGCAAATGTGGCACGTCGCATCGTGCCAGGCGGGATCTCGGCTGACGTGGGCGTCGCTTGCTCGCATGGCGACGGTTGGGCACATCATTTTCAGGTTCTCGGTACAAGCAACGTGTTGCTCGTTGCCGTGTTCAATCGTATGGTTTTCTCTTCTTTTTTTTTTTCAGGGCAATCGTATGGTTTTCGATCCAACAATCAAAATTATAAATACTGACCACGGTAACACTACGTGTATAGAATAAAAAGAAAGGTTCAGATAGATGAGGATGAAAAAGATAAAAGTGCAAGGCAAGAAATTTCTGTTTAAGTAACTAACTGAACGGGATCATCTTATTACAAATATAATTCTTTTATATAAAATTTAAATGATAGAAATACAATTATTACGGAATAGAATGTAGTAGTTTTCTTAAAAAGAAAATTCAATTAATATCCAGTAACCAGTTTGATCTGCTACTCCCTCCGTCCCAAAAAATAAGACATATCCATCCAAAATTACTTATATTTTGGGGCGGAGACATCATAAGATTTGTTCTATGGATTGTTAGGCTGTGTTCCTCTCTACACTTTCATATCCTCTACTTCCTCGTTTTTCATCCACACGTTACCCATACGGCTAAACGGTATGTTTTGTCAAAAACATTCTATAAGAAAGTTGCTTTAAAAAATTATATTAATCCATTTTTCCCACTTATTTAGCTAACACTCCCTCCGTCCCGCTCATTAAGGCGCACACATTTTAAAATTCAACTCTTTAAATATTTAACCAATAAATATTTTATTATAAATTAAATTTTATGTAATGAAAATAATATCATTGGATTATCATTTACATTCACTTTTACTATATGATTAAGATTTTGTTATGAAATTGGCAGCTTGCTCGTTCGTTAAAAAATATGATTTTGTTACTACAAACATTATAGTATATGAGAAATTTAAAGTTAAATATGAATTTTAAAAAATGTGCCAAGTCTGACCGCGTCTTAGTGAAGTACTTAATTAATCGTGGACTAAACCCACGAGATCTGCTGTGAGACCAGGAACAACATGCTAAGCTCAATGGAACTCCTGGTCACAGAACATAGATAGATGATCCCCATGACCTTGCATGCCATTTCTATATTAAGCATCTTATCGTTTGACCACACAACATATACGACCATTTTTAGACCGCGAGAAGAAGCGTCCAATATGTAACGTTAGTTATCTTGGACATCTCCCTCCTAGACCTCATTTCGTTTAGCTGCCGCACTCAATGGACAATCGTAACCATGGGCGGTGCTCGTTGCCGCGGCTCGCCGTTGGCGCCGCCGTCCTCCTCCTCGCCGTCTCCCTAGCGGCCACGCCGGCGGCGAGCCATGCCGGGCACGATGACACCGGCTTGCACAGCAACTACCTCGTCATCGTGCGCAAGCCGTACGCGTACGACACGAACCTGTACAAGAACGTGTCGAGCTGGCACGCGTCGCTGGTGGCGTCGGTGTGCGACATGGCGAAGGAGGCGCTGGAGAGGGACCCCTCCTCCGTGTCCCGGCTCATCTACTCCTACCGCAACGTCGTCAATGGCTTCGCCGCCCGCCTGACGCCGGAGGAGGTGGAGGAGATGTCCAAGAACGACTGGTTCATCCGCGCCGACCCGGAGAAGACGTACCAGCTCCAGACCACCCACACGCCGCAGCTGCTCGGCCTCATGGGCGGCGCCCGCCGCGGCGGCGTGTGGAACACCAGCAACATGGGCGAGGGCATCATCATCGGGATCCTCGACGACGGCATCTACGCCGGGCACCCGTCGTTCGACGGGGCGGGCATGAAGCCGCCGCCGGCCAAGTGGAGCGGCCGGTGCGACTTCAACAAGACGGTGTGCAACAACAAGCTCATCGGAGCGCGCTCCTACTTCGAGTCGGCGAAGTGGAAGTGGAAAGGGCTGCGCGACCCGGTCCTGCCGATCAACGAGGGGCAGCACGGGACGCACACGTCCAGCACGGCGGCCGGCTCGTTCGTGCCCGGCGCCAACGTCTCCGGCTACGCGGTCGGCACGGCGGGCGGCATGGCCCCCCGCGCGCACATCGCCTTCTACCAGGTGTGCTACGTGGAGAAGGGCTGCGACCGCGACGACATACTGGCGGCGGTGGACGACGCCCTCGAGGACGGCGTCGACATCCTGTCGCTGTCGCTCGGCGACGAGCAGGCCGGCGACTTCTCCGACGACCCGGTCTCGCTCGGAGGCTACAGCGCTGCCATGCATGGCGTGCTGGTCAGCGCGGCCGGCGGCAACACCGGCCCGGGACCGAGCACCGTCGTCAACGAGGCGCCGTGGGTTATCACCGTGGGGGCAGGCACCACCGACCGGCGGTTCGTCGCCACCGTGAAGCTTGGAAGCGGGGTTAGCCTCGACGGCGAGTCGCTCAGCGAGCCCAAGGACTTCGGAGCCGAGATGCGGCCGCTGGTGCACGACGTGGGCGACGGCATGTGCACCACCGAGAGCGTACTGAGGGCGATGAATGTCACCGGTAAGATCATCATCTGCGATGCTGGTGGCGACGTGAGCGTCGCGAAGGCCAAGTTGGTGCTCCGCTCCGGCGCCGCCGGCATGATCGTCATCGCCCCTCAGGTGTACGGTTCGGTGATCGTCCCGAGGCCGCACGTCCTCCCGACGGTGCAGATGCCATTCATGATAGGGCAGAAGATCAAGGCTTACATCCGGAGCACGCCGAGCCCGACGGCGAACTTCATCTTCAAAGGGACAGTGTTCAAAGCGAAGTCGCCGGTGGCCGCGCCCTTCTCGTCGCGGGGGCCGAACAGGCGGAGCAGGGGGATCCTCAAGCCCGACATCATAGGCCCCGGAGTGAACATCCTCGCCGGCGTCCCCAAGATCGAGGACTTGGCGCTCGGGGCCGAGGAAGTGATGCCCAAGTTTGACATCAAGTCCGGCACCTCCATGGCCGCGCCGCACATCAGCGGGGTCGCCGCGCTGATCAAGAACGCGCACCCGACGTGGTCGCCGGCCGCCATCAAGTCGGCCATGATGACGACGGCCGATTACACCGACAACCTCCGGAAGCCGATAACCGACGTGGACGGCGCGCCGGCGACCTACTACGCCATCGGCGCCGGCTACGTGAACGCGCGGAAAGCCATCGACCCGGGGCTCGTGTACAACCTGTCGTCGCTGGACTACATCCCCTACCTCTGCGGGCTCGGGTACAAGGACCAGAAGGTGAACTCGATCATCCACCCGGGGCCGGCGGTGGAGTGCGCCAAGATGCCCAAGGTCGATCAGAAGGATCTCAACTACCCGTCCATCACGGCCGTCCTGGACATGGAGCCGTACGAGGTGAGCATCAACCGGTCGGCGACGAACGTCGGGGCGGCCACCTCGACGTACGCCGTGGAGGTGGACGTGCCGGCGACGCTGGCGGTGGAGGTGAACCCGGCGAAGCTGGAGTTCAGGGCGCTGAACGAGGTGCTGAACTACACGGTCACCGTCAAGACGGCCTCCGGCAAGGCGCCGGCCAGCACGATCGAGGGGCAGCTGAAGTGGGTGTCGGGGAAAAAGTACGTGGTGCGCAGCCCGATCCTCGTCTGTGCCGGCACCGGCGGCAAGAGCGCCGCCTCCATGGGGGCTGCACCGGCGTAGAGCACTGGTCGAGCGGAGCCTAAGAGATAGCAGCTTGATGATGATTACTAGATTGCCACGCGTGTTAACGTTTGATGGTGCTTTACTCTTCGCTCGGTAGGTTTAGGCTCATGTATGTGGAGGCTAGCGAATTAATCCTTTCCTCCGCGGAAGTGGGGTGACGGGTTTTTCTTGCTGTTTTTACCACTAGTGCACGCGGCTGATCTTGACCATTCATTGATTTTGTACTCCAGGGGACGAGATGTGATTTCATCCCCGGCCCCTTAATCATGATATATGTTCATTTATTCTTTTTTTCCTGTTTCTCAAATAGATGCAGACGTGACACTCCTCTCAAATAGATGCTGGTGTGTTATATATGCTATATATGCTGTGATTATATTTTAAAGTTGATGTGAAAATTTAAAACATATAATCATTATTGTAGTTTATTTTGCCAATTGAATTACGAATAGAGAAAATATATTATCCAACTTTCATTATTTCTCCTATTGTTTATATTTTTCATAATATTACTGTTTGCAACATCACGAATGCCAAGTGGAGCTTAATAAGGATCTTGAGTTGAAGCAGTTTGCCAAGACACCAAAATACTAAAATAAAGCTGTTGGACCAAATGAGGTTCCAGGATCCATCCCAAATGCCAAACGGACCGGAGCCTAATAAGTACTCCCTCCATTCCATAATATAAGGCACAACTATTTTTATTACATGTTTCATAATAGACATACATGCAAACATGCAATTAACTATGATATCTTCTACATTAAATTATTACTTTTTTAAATCATCCACTCTCAAGTTATCTAATCATATTGGATGCATGCATTAATATTTATTAGGATGATCCAAGCTACAATATGATAATAATTATTTCTTGGTCTTTGGGTTAAGGGTGGTTGTCCCTTATATTTTGGAATGGAGGGAGTATCTTGAGCTGAAGCAATTTGCCAAGACACCAACATGTGGAAGGGCGGGCTAGCTCCGCATCTATTTTAAGTTTGAACCTGGGAAGAAAAGATTAGAGCTAGTCTTCTAGTTTTTCTTTTCGGTTGTTCTTTTTCATGTTTCTCAATTATGAGTTTTAGAATGTATGCACTCGTGTAAACTTTGATTGTGTATATCCACTTTGGATATAGAGGCCGAATTTTATCCATTATCTAAAAAAAAAGACACCAACATGTTAAAAACTATATATTGAACCAAATGAGATTACCAAAATCCACCGCTAATGCCAAACGGAGCCTAATAAGGATTTCTTGAGTTGACATGTTTTTTTTTTACTTTTTTTTAAAAAAAATCTTTTTCCGTCCCCATTCTTGATCTTGAGTAAAACTCAATAAATGAAAATCATGAACACCTCGTAAGTTTATATTGTTTGTTCTTTCTTTGTAGTTTGTACAGAAAATACTACTCTTGTATCTTATCCTGCCAATTCTTTTCATAATTTTTCAGGGCTATTTGGAATGTAGCTGAGAAGTAAAGTCACATTTTAATAAAAAAGATACCAAATTATAACCGCTCATATTAAAAGGAGACCCGTGTGGGGATGAACCTTAATAGTATAGTATAGTACTTAACTATATTTATTAATTTCGATTTCGGAATTACTATACGGCTATACCAACAAAACAAACTAAGAATCCAAAGATGACTACAATTTGGTATTTCAACACCAGAACTGTAAGTTTAAAATTTCAACAATAAGTACTGTAAGTAAGAAGGATCCCAATTGACCGAGAAATCACAATGCGCGTAACGCGTGATAATACCTCTGTCTCATAATAAGTGCAGCAATGAGTTTTTGCGTCCAAATTTGATCGTCCGTCTTATTTAAAATTTTTTTATAATTAGCATTTTTATTGTTATGAGATGATAAAACATGAATAAGACTTTACTTGTGACTTATGTTTTTAAATTTTTTTAAAATTTTTTAAAATAAGACGAACGGTTAAAGTTGGACGTGGAAAACCATGGCTATACTTATTTTAGGACGGATGAAGTATTACCGTCTCTGAATCTCTGATATATGATCAGGCGAAGGTGACAGAGACCGGGCTCCGTACGGTGTGCGTCTCCGAAACCCACCGCACTGCGCCCTGCACCACCCTTGCGCCGCCCTGCCCCGGCCACACGACCACCGTGAAATCCTTCTCCTGGTTCACTCCGGTGAACCGCAATGTCCTCGGGAACACGCGGACGGTCACGGTTGTGTCCAGCATGTCGACCGCCGCGTAGTACTCCGATGGCACCTCCCCGACGTTCTTCGCCGTGCGCCTCACGAGCACCGGCTCCGACGAGTTCCACGCCCGCGGGAACCTGACCGAGATCGACGGGTAGTTCAGCTGGTGCTCCGGGATCGCCGCGACGGCGGAGCAGTTCACCGGCCGGCGCGCGATCACCGAGACCTCCTGGCTCGTGTACAGGCCGCAGAGGTAGCCGACGTAGTCGCAAGGAGCAATGTCGTAGACCAGGCCAGGGTCGGCGGCCCTCTCCGGGTTGACGTGACCGGCGCCGGTGGCGAAGAAGTTGGCCGGCGCTCGCTGCTCGTCGAGTATCTGGTTCCCGGAGCGGTCGGTGATGTCGGCGGTGGTCATGATGGCCGACTTGATCGCCGCCGGCGACCAGTGCGGGTGCCTGCTCTTGATGAACGCCGCGACGCCGCTGAGGTGCGGCGTCGACATGGATGTCCCGGAGATGATGTTGAAGGTCGGTCCAGGGAAAACCTGCGCCGACGATGGCCCAACCTGGAACGGCCATGCGGCGAGCACGTTCACGCCGGGGCCCGTGATGTCGGGCTTCAGGATACCGGGGTTCTGAACGCTAGGCCCACGGGAGGAGAAGAAAGCCATCGCCGGAGCAGGCGTCGTGCCGAGTACCGTGCCCCTGGGGAGGATCTGCGCCACCGGGTTCGCCGTGCTGTTGATGTACGCCTTGATGGCTAAGCCGGCGACGTAGTCAACATGCGACGCCGGGAGGACGTGCGCCTCGGCCAACGTAGTGTAGCCTTCGGGGAAGTGATTGGGAAGTATCATGCCGGCGCCGCCGGCGCTCTGCACCACCGCGCCTTTGATGATCCTCGTGATGTTAGGACCACCACCGAACTCGCAGACGACGATCTTGCCCCTGACGTCGAAGCCGTCGAGCGAGCCGTTGCCGCAGAACTCGGCGGACGGCTTCCCGCTCGCGCCGGCGTAGACCAGTGGGTAGAAGGTGCTCGGCGAGTCGTTCGGCTGGTACAGCGACTCGCCGTCGAAGTAGAGCCCGTTCCCTAAGCGCACCGTCGTGCGTATCGACCGGTCCATGGTGCTCGCGGCGACGGTGAGCATCCACGGCGCGTCGTTGATCACGGAGCTCACGTTTGGGCCAGCGTTGCCGGCAGCCATGCTGACAAACACGCCCTTCTCCATGGCTCCGAACGTCCCGACGGCGACGGGGTTTTCGTGGAACGGTACGGACGGGCCGCCGATTGATATAGAGATGACGTCGCAGCCGTCGGCGATCGCGGCGTCGACGCCGGCCAGTATGTCGGAGATGGCGCAGCTCTCGTTGGGGCACACCTTGTAGACAGCGACGTGCGCGTGGGGCGCTATCCCCGCCGCGACACCGAGTCCCTGACCAAGCACGTGAGCGCCTGGCACAGCGGCTCCCGCCGCCGTGCTCGCCGTGTGGGTGCCGTGCCCGACGTCGTCAACCGGTGGCAACCGTTCACCGTAGGAGGAAGAGCTGTTCGTGGCGTTGGCGATGAAGGTGCGCGCGCCGATGAGCTTGTTGTTGCAGACCGATCCGCCGTTGAAGTCGCAGTGCCCCTTCCACTTGGCCGGCGGCGGCGGCATTCCGGCGTCGCTGAAGGAGGGGTGGTCCGGGAACACGCCGGTGTCGATCACGCCGACGATGACGCCAGCGCCAGCTCCCGAGCCGCCGTGGGACGACGACGACCACCGCTTCCCCTGCGGCGGCGGCGGAGCACTCAGCCCGAGGAACTGCGGCGTGTGCGTCGTCTGCAGCGTGTGCGTCTGGTCCGGCACCGCGCTCACGAACCCGGGCATGGCGGACACGGCGTCGAGCTCCTGCCGCGTCAGCCTGGCCGCGAACCCGCTCGCGACGTGGTGGTACGCGTGGACCAGCCGGCCGTCCTCCGGCAGGAACGTCTTGTACCACTCCTTCCGGTCATCGGCGGTGGCGGCCACGTGGCTTTCCTGCGGCTGCACGTGCACGATGAACGTGCCGATCTCATCGCCGGTCGCTTCAACGGCGATCGCGAGGACGAAAACGAACGGAAGAAAGGAGAGCAAGGAGAGCTTGAAGCCATCCATGGCGGGTTTCGTTCTGATACGACTTCTGAGCTCTGCAGCATTTGCACAAATTGGCGGCCATTTTATAAAGCTAAGCGCTTTGTCAGATTAAGCTGGCCGGCTTTTGCCTGGTCTTCAGGCCGTGACAATATGCGAGGATTGGAGGCTTGGAGCTACGGTAAAATTGGCAATTTGAAGACCGGGTTAATGAACAAAAACGGAGCGAAACAGACACATATGGCTGCTTGGGAATTGCCGCACTGTGATGGGATCTTGCTGCAGGAACGGAGCGGCAGCCGCCCGTGCGTGAATATGCGATGTTTGCCTCATAGTACTTAAAAAAACAACATAGTATTGGATGTGATATTTTCTAATACAACGAATCTGGATAGACTAGAAAATATCATCTCTAATACGTTGTACTAGAAAATATCACCTCCAATACGTTGTACTAAAAAAAAATATCGCCTCCAATACGTTGTTGCCTTTTTTTTTTTTTAAGAACGGAGGGAATGCTACATAGCCAAATGGCATTGTGTACGTCGTCTTCGTTTGGATCACATAACTCATTTTTCTGTCTGTTGAAAGGTGACCCAATTTGTCGATCATCTTAGCAAGTCGGAGCTTAGATCTAACCGCCGAAATCAACCTTCGTATAGAAACAAGGTTCGTTTATCCCCAGTTTTTTTTTCTTTCAAAGGTCGCCTAATTCTCTGATCCTAACTAGTTATAGTGGGCCTTTTTGTGCAGCCCAATACTGGCGATTCCGCGAGCCTAGCCTATCAAGGCCCATGTAAAAGCATTTGGTATCGGTCCAGATCACACGTCGCAACAGCCGCTCCCCCGGCCGCTTGCCCCGACAGAAAACGAACATTTACGCTGCGGCGAGCCGGCGACCATGGCGATTTGGTTGGATTGTGTCGGGCGCGCTGTGTTCCGATCCAAAGCGAAGTGGGTTGGCAGCAGGGTTTATAATATCGTGAGGTCATCGTGATTATCACGTACGCTAA